ATCCTCAAGGAACTCTTCCCAGGCAGCTGTTTTACCCCTGCAAATAGCTTCTCTTAATTCCCTCTTCGCGCTCGCATACTCCCTTTTATGCCTGCTCTCTTCGGCCGGGTCGTTCCTCCTTCTGCGGTGGTTGCGAAGGAGTGCTCTCCTTTTTTGCTGACACCTCCTTCTCTGTGCCTCTAGCTCAGCCGACCACCAGTAAACCTGGGTTCGCTGTCTTGGGCCTGCTGAGCGAGGCATGGAGGCGTCGCAAACTTCCGTGAGTGACTCCTTTATCCTATCTGCCAGAATATCAACATCCCTGTCCTCCATAGTCGTATCGAGAACCCAGGCTTGAACTATCGAGGCCTCGTTAATCATATCGATGTCCATTCGAGCCTGAGTCCAGCGCGGGAAACGAAAGCCACCATTAACAGTCGGAGTAGGATGATCAGTTCTCACCGGAGGGGAGATCACAAAACGGATATAAGTGTGATCCGAAAGCGTCTCCTCCTCCGTGAGAACCCTCCAACCACTGACCCTTGCCGCCAAATCCGGTGTTGCAAAGGTGAGGTCAACGATTGACCCCACAGTCCGACCTCGCCATCGTCTTACGCATGTAAATTCCGAGCCCCTGTTTAGAATTTCCAGGCGAGAAGCTGTGGCCCACTTTAAAATGAGCTCACCTTCAGGTGAATTACTGGGGGAACCCCAAGCCGTGTGTTTGGCATTGAAGTCCCCCAGTATTAGCATGTGATGGGTCGAAAGTCTACCCACCACCTCTGTCATCTTGTCGACCCAAGCCTCGTACTCCCTGAAGGGACGAGTTGGGGAAAAATATACTCCTATGATAGTGACCCCCCCCCCCACATTATCGCCACGTAACCCGAGCCCCTTTCTCTGACAGTGAAAGGGGGCGAGAATGCAGCCGTGGTGGGGATCACTATTGCAACGGAACTATCAATGTCCGCTATCCAGTTATTAGACGGCGGGATGAAATATGGTTCTGAAAAGACCAACATGTCGGCCTTCTCATTGGCGGCGCTCTGCAGGATTAAATCCTGGGCGCCCGCACAATGGTTGGCATTACTTTGGAGGAAGTTTACAGTCGCTCTATCCATCGGATTGTGTGTAAACTACCTCCATGGCCGTTGCCGGCCCCGCCGTCTTTTGGTTCACCCATTTTTGTATGGACTTAGCAGGTTTAACCTTACTAGATGGACAGCTTTTGCCTCCCATTATATGGTTATGCGGGCGTTTAGCATCCGCACAAATCAGACAGGATGGCGTGGCTGAACAGTCCGCAGCTTTGTGGCCAGGGGAGCCACATCTGAAGCAGACCGCACTTCTGTCAACCTCGCTGGGGCATGTCCTCCTCGTGTGTCCCGCGTTCATGCATTTGTAGCATCTCATTGGTAATGCTTGTAGCATGCGAACGCGGGCACTACTCCATCCGACCAATATTCTGCCAGAGTCAGATATTATTTTGGCAGCCGCTATAGGGCAACGAACCACCGTCGTGAACAGGCCGCCAGATCCAGGTCGGAGTGCACCAACTTTGATTTGACCCGTCTGGCAGCAACCTTGTGAGGCAATTGCCTCAGCAATATCCTCCGGCAATATAGAATCGTCTAAGTCAAAAATGCGCACATCAGCACATTTGACAGGTCTGTAAACCCGAGCCACACCCTCCAAGACGGTGGAGAGTTGAGCATTAAGTTGCTCAATTTTGCTTTCTTCCACCTCTTTGGGGATTTCATATTTTCGGGCACCCGTCGCTGTTCGCCCAATCCGAAGGCCTCTAGGGTCTATCCCTATGCCTGCAAGATCAATCTCCTTCCTGGCTTTGGCCAGTGCCTTAGCATAAGTGGCATCGATGGCGTCGTTTTCCTCAGGAATATCAATCACTAAAACTGACGTTTTAGGGATCTTAATCCTGCGCTTTCTGGGCGGCCTTGACTTCTTCTGAGCACCAGGAGGAGCAGTCTGTCCCTTTGGGTTTGGAGGAAGAGATCCAGTGGTAGGTGCGTTAGCCGCCTTCCTCTTCTTCTTTTTCCTTCCCACCACTTTTGTCCAGGGGACTCCAGCCTCTAACTCTCCAAATGTATGAGGTTGCTCTTCTACCTCTTTAACAGGGGCAGGTGGAGAAGCCTGCGACCTATTAGTTGTGGCTCCACGTGGATGTGGAGTGGTCTTCGAGCCAGTTTTAGATTTGGGGGGCTTCTCAGTAGCCTGCGTCCCAATCTTGGCCTTGGATTGTGAGGCCTTTGGTTGTGTGGCCTTAGGGATATTTGAGACTTTTTGTCCATTCGAGCCTCCCCTAGTTACTCCCTTAGGACCACCCACATTGCCAGAAGAAGAGGGTTCTGAGTTATTTCTCGCGTGCTGTTCACTCTCTGCCGACTTTTTGTCTGACTTCAAAGGTGGTCGCATGTTCTTAGGTGGCAAGAGGCGGTCTTGTATGCCCTCGAACTTGGCGTCCAACATCTTCCTCATATTGCCCAGAAGGAGGTTTTGAATACCCAGTTTTAGTTACGTCTCGCCCCCCGAGGTGAACAGTTCGGAAATGGTAACGCTCCGCGCTTAAAAAAAAAAAAAAAAAAAAAAAAAAAAAAAAAAAAAAAAAAAAAAAAAAGTGGGAAATCCAAGAGTTACAGTGACGTATCATATATCGGCGAGACCTATCCAACGACACATCGAACGTGAAAATCGGAGTGCAGTGTGAAAAGTTATTGCGGAAAAACCAAAAACCGACCACGTGTTTGTTGAAAAAAAAAAAAAAAAAAAAAAAAAAAAAAAAAAAAAAAAAAAAAAAAAAACAAGTGTTTTTAATTAATAACTTTGTGTTTACTCGACGGATTTTCGTGAGCGAAGCGTCGCCATACGCGCGCTTGCGAGACGCATCGTTGGACACCTTGGGCTCCCCTCAACTCCCCGTGGCTTGAGAGGTATTTGGAAATAACCAAATAACCTCTCGCCACGAGGTACCAGATCCGGGGGACCTGGGGGACCGCCGTCATCACAGGAAGGAAGAGGACAACGAGACGAGTAAATAGAACCGATTCTCTTAAAAATAGAACGAGTTTTGGCGAACCTACGCACTTTTCAAAATTTTCAACTTCAAAATTCATAGTGTCTGGGGATTGTGGAGAACAGCTCCTTTTTATGAGCGGTCCATGTAGACAATCCCCAGCACTAACCTGAAAAAAATTGGCATCAACGGGGCTGTTCGGCAAGCGGAGGAATCGGCCCGCAAAAATTGGGCCCACTTTTCTGCAGGCTCCAGAGGGCTGATCTTCGAAGGTGGAAGGCTGGAATTTTGATATTGTGTATATAACTATTAGTCCTAAGCGCAGGTAGAAATTTAGATTTTTAGCATAAGTAGTTTTTAAGATATATGTATTTTCGTCCCATTTTGTCCCGTCTCAGAAAACTGGTGGTAGATGGGAGTAAGATAACTTCGGGAAAGGTCTTATAACAACCCAAACACCCTTAAACACCCCAAAGTACGACCGTCTAGCTGCTGTATCAAAAAACCGGGAAAAAGTCGGCCATATTGGCCCGAGTAGGACGAGTTTTTAACTCCTAATAACTCTGCGATTACTTATGCTTTTAAAAAACGGTTTTCGATCCACAGATGAGCGAGCCCCCCTCTTGCCATTTCCGGACTCAAAATTTTAAATTTCCAAAATTTGACTTTTTTCAAAAATTTCGGCCCCAAAAATTTTAGATTCCAAATTTGGAACGGGATCCTGATAGATCTCTGTCTCCCCATCCTGACATCGAAATCCCCGCGTTTCTGCGACGCGAATTGACCGAGATATAATTTTCCAAAAAGTGGTCGGCCATCTTGGTTCGGCCATTTTGGAAGATTTGGAATCCCTGTATCTCGGTCAATATCGGGCCTAGGAGACCGGGACTTCGAATCAAGTCCCTCCCCCATTCCCATCTAAATATTCCATAGGGTGGAATTCGAATTGGACGGGTTGAACTCGACCCTCCAATTTTGAGATTGCTTCGGCAAGACCCCACCCTCCCATAACTTCCACTCCAAGCCCCGACTTCGTGCGGCCAATAGGACCGGAGATATAGCCCTCCAAAGTCGGTGGGATAAGCTTATCCCAAAACTTTGAGGGGCTGTAGCAGCCGTACCACTGGTCGCAAAGGAACGGGGTTTTCCACTCCTACTACCCCCTGTCAAGCCCTATCAGACCCATAGGGTGAACCACCCCTATCTCAAGGTCGAGGGGAAATACCAACTGACCACGGAAATAGGTGCGGCAGGACCTCCCCCATCCATCCCTAAAAAATCCCCGTTCCACACGACTGATAGTTTCGGAGATATCGGCACTCGTCCCTTTCGGGCCGAGTTTTTTGGCGATTTTGGCCAAGGAATATCTCCGAAACTATCCATCGTACAGAGGCAAGAGAGGTGTCGGGAGATAGGGCTCGGGAAGCACTAGAAGACTGTAGGGGACGTAACTATATAGACCCGGAACTTTAGAAGAAAATTCCGGAAAATGCAAAAATTATTAGAACTTCGCGATCTTTAGCGAAAAAATTCCGGAAAAATTCCTATAGTAGTAGGAAAATACATTATAAAGGAATACGACAAAATAAAGACAGTATATTGTATATATAAACAAAATTTTGACGTTTCATTTTGACCTAAAACTTTTACACTATTTTATTAACAAATTAAGAAAAATTGACTACGCACCCTATTGGGACGTGTCCTAGTTAGTAAGTACCTACAATTGACGTATTGAGCTAGCTCTACGATTAAAATAAATACAAATACACACATAAATACACAAAAGACAAGATAACATTACGGTAACATTACATATACTCACCAAACACCAACAGGACGAGAACAAAAACTGCAGAACTGCAAATCCAGCATCTGAAACAAAAAACAATATATTGAGCAATCACTGCAGAGTCAATACACACACAAAATAAACACACAAAAATTGTCCCCACGTCTCGGCAAGTAAAAACTGTTGCTTGCACCAAATATGAGTAAGGAACAGAGAACAACAGTAGCAGGAGGCCCAAGAAGACCGAGTACAAGTTCTCCGAGAAAAATTAAAAACCCAGGAGATATGGACTCCGAAGAGAAGTCCATAGAAGAGAGTATAGACAAAATGCAGGAACTACTAAGAATGGCCCACAAACAGATATATGGAGCAATGAAAAGAGAAGTAAAAGAAGCGTTGGAATTTATAACTATGAAGGGTCAAGATGTGTTGCAAGAATTGTACAACGGAATTATAAGGGATAGAAATGAGATGAAGGAGTTGAGGGAGAAAGTGAGGCTGGGAGAACAAATGAACGAAATGAGAGCAACAATGAAGGAGGAGATGAATAAAATAGCAATAAAAATGGAACAACAGCAAGAAGCAATGATCAAACATAGAGAAAAGAAGAAAAGAAGTAGGGAAGAGGATGAATCCGTACAAACTAAATATCTACGAATGATAGATTATAAATTGGAAGATATTAAGAATAGAGAGGAGGCCCTTTTCGATCGGTTTTCGGATAGAACAATGAAGGATAACGAAATGACTACAGCAATTATGGTCAGAAAGCTGGATACCCTAGAGGAAAATCTGACAGCAGAAACCATCGAACTAGAGCGTAAGTTAGTAGACAGGCTGGGAAGGAGAATGGCTATGGAGGAAAAAAGTACGAGTAAAGAGATTGATACCGACCTAGCACAGCTAATAAGGGATACGGGAAGAGAGACAACCCAGGAGATAACAAAGTCAATAGACACCGTACTAACGGAGTGCATGCAAGACATACACAATGCTATAACATATGGAGGAACTGCACCCGATAGTAATACGGAAGTACTTAGTGGACTGGGGCGTCTCGAAACAAATATAAAGGAGATAATGGAGAATACAAAGGAAGCAATCACAGGCAACATAAAAGAAACTACAGGCAACATAACAAAAATAATTGAAAGAATATCATCACAAGAAAACACAACACCAGTGGGAATGCACGGGACAAACACATACGCAGAAATCACTAAAGGCAAAAAACATCGCAAGCCAAAAACAATGCACTCCCTTCTCATCACATCCAAGAATAAAAATGACATGGCACAAGACGTAATTGACAAGACCAAGGAGATTCTAAAACCAGATAAAAATGGGATACAAATTGAGAGAATCAGGAAAGTCAAGGACCAAAGAATCATTGTAAGTTGCATAGAAGAACAAGAGACGGAAAAAATTAAAGAAAAGATAGAAGTAAGTGAGGAACTGGAAGCTGAAAGAGTGAAGAACAAAAATCCACTGATAATTATAAAAGAAGTTAAGTACAGATTGACGGATGAGGAAATAAAAGAGGCTATAAGGAATCAAAATCCGGACATCTATGCAACAAAACAGGAAGATGATGAATTTAGGATAAAATATAGACGCAAGACAAGAAATACAGAAAAGTGCCATGTCATAGTCCAACTAAAACCCGAATACTGGAAAAAGATCACGGAGAAAGGGCATCTGTACATCGAGATGGAGAGGGTGAGGGTCGAAGACCAGACCCCTCTCATACAATGTACGAGGTGCCTAAACTTTGGTCACGGCAGAAAATTTTGCCACGAGAGTGCGGACAAATGCAGCCACTGCGGAGGGTTACACCTGCGGGCAGAATGCCCAGACAGAAAAGCAGGAGTCCCACCGCAGTGCTGCAATTGCACGCACGCGGAAATATCGGAAACTGACCATAATGCGTTCAGTACCATCTGTAAGATTAGGGAGAAATGGGACAGCCTCGCCCGCTCCACTACAGCATATGACTGAGGACAACACGGAACAACATGCAGACAAAGAAAACACACACCAAAACACAACACAAACATCGAACAAAAAACATACACACAAAGAAAAACAGACAACACACACACAAAACAATGGAGAGATTGGAATGATGCACATTCTAATCAATCCATTGAAACAAATAACAAAAAAACAAACATAAAGTAGAGCATCATGAAGATGCAAAGCTTCATGGAAAAACCAAACATACAAAACACATAAATGAATACAATAAAACCGGACTTGACCAAATAAATAAAGAGTAATAAAACTAACTGAAAAAGAAATAGGATTACTACATATATTTAAATATATATTAATAGTGACCTTAAATACAGGAATAATAAAATCAGATATATTATAGTAAGAATGAAATAAGTAGGACTGGACAGAAAGAAAAGAAATAGAAACAAGAAATAAGATAAAGGAATACTAACAAAGATAGAAACATGTAAGAATAAAATATCGAAAGTAATGAATAAAGTAAGAGTAATTGAAATACAAATATACACTTGTAACTGTAATAGAATAAGAAAATGTAAATAGAAAATATGTAAAATAGAATAAGACTTTGAATGCAAATAAAAACACCTAGTATATATGTAAACTTACTAATGAAGTAGAGGCAAAAATAATGTAATAGAAAAACAAGAAAAGAAACAAAAACATGTAATAGAATAAGTAAATAAGATAGAATAAGAACCATGTAATTAGAATAAGAAAGGACAATGTAACTGGTAGAAGGAGATAAAGGAGAATGTAAAAGAATATAAACTGAATGTTATAGAATAAGAGAAAGTAAATAGAATAAGAACTATGTAAACTAGAATAAGACATGATATCGAAAATAAAAATAAACCCCGTGTATGTGTTTAAACCCCATGAACAAAGATAAATAAAGAAAATAAAAATTATTAGAATAGACAGAATAGGACCGGCACTCCCAGCCGAAGGTATGAAAGAGGAGGAAAAAGAGAAAGATAAAGTATGCAGCATGAATGTCAGTATAAAAGTGAGAACTGGAATGGATGAGAAAATTAGAGAATAGCAAGGGCCTGCTAAAAAGTGGGGACACGTAGGAAAAAAAAAAAAAAAAAAAAAAACCTAACCCAGTTACGTCTCGCCCCCCGAGGAGAACAGATCAGAAAACGTAACGCTCCGCGTTAAAAAATTCAAAAAAGTGGGAAATTCAATTCTATATATCAAAAGATAGGTCTCGACGAGACCTATCTAACAACGTATCGTGAGTGAAAATCGCAAAACAGTGCGGAAAGTTATTAAATAAAAACCAAAAAACCACCACGTGTTCGACGAAAAAACAAGTGTTTTTTAGTGATAACTTTACAACCAACTTACGGATTGCGGTGCACTATACATCAAAAGACGCGCGCCAAGGAGGCGCTTCTCCTGATACCTCGGGTACAATTCTACTCAACGTGGCTTGAGAGGTATTTGGGAAAAACCAAATAACCTCTCGCCACGAGGTACCAGTTCCCGAGGACCTGGAGCAACGGCGACGGCGCAGTCTGAAAGAGGACCCAAAAAGCAGATAAGAGGTCAAATTGTATTTAAAATCGGCCCATAAACAACGAACCTACGCGATTTTGAAAATTTTAACCTTCAAAATTCATAGTGTCTGGGGATTGTGGAGAACAGCTCAGTTTTATGAGCGGCCCGTGTAGACAATCCCCAGACCTATCCACAAAAAAAATCGGCATCACTGGAGCTCTTCTACAACCGGAGGAATCGGCCCGCAAAAAGTGGGCCCACTTTTCTGCAGGCTCCAGAGGGCTGATCTTCAGAGCTGGAAGGCTGAAATTTAGATATAAGTTAGACATATATTAGTATTACACGTAGGTAAAAATTTGGAATTTTAGCTTTTATAGTTTTTAAGTTGTAAATATTTTTGTCCTCTTTTGTCCCACCATATAAAACCCTAGAAAGATAGGAGTAAATTGACCTCGGGAAAGGTTATATAACCCCCCCGGGAACATATGACACCCCAAAGATCGGCCCTGTAGCTATCATAACGGAAAACCCGAGAAAAGTCGGCCATATTGGGACCAACGGGCCGAAACTTTGCCCCGCTATAACTCTTTGGTTTTTCAAAATTTAAAAACGCGGTTTTCGGTATTGTGTTTAGCATCCCCTAGGCCCCGACAGGGCGCAAAATTCAAAAATCAAAAATTTTGGACTTTTTAAATTTCCAAAAATTTCGGACCCAAAATTTTCGCGGACCCTCGTTTTGGAACGGGATTCCTATAGTTCCCTTCCCCCTCAACCTAACATCGAAATCCCCACGCCTCTGCGACACGTATTGACGGAGATATTAATTTCCAAAAAGTGGTCGGCCATCTTGGTTCGGCCATTTTGGAAATTTTGGAATCTCCATATCTCCGCCAATATTGGACGTAGAAAGCAGGGATTTCAAATCATATCCGTCCCCATATCCCCTCTACACATCCCACAGGGTGAGGTTCGGATTGGAGGGGTTGAACTCAACCCCTCAATTTTGAGATTGTACCAGCAAGACCTCACCTTCCTTCCCACACCACTCCAAGTCCCATCTCTGTGCGACGAATAGGGGTAGAGTTATAGACCTCCAAAGTTTGGGGGGTCACTTCACCCCCTTATTTTGAGAGGCTGTAGCTCGGGTGACTCTGGTCGCAGAGAAACGGGGTTTTCCGCATATACTACCCCCTGCCAAGCTCTATCAAACCCGTAGGGCAAATTTGCCCTAACTCAAGGTCCCGGGGCAAACTCATCTGACCCCGGAAATAGGTGCGGCAGGACTCCCTCTACCCAATACCAAAAAGTCCCAGTTCCACAGGGTCAACAGTTTCGGAGATATCGGCACTCGTCCCGTTCGGGCCGAGTTTTTTTGCCGATTTTTAAAGGGGTATATCTCCGAAACTACCCATCGCAGCGGGGCAAGACAGGTATCAAACAATAGGGCTCAAAGAGCTCTTGCGGACGGCGCGAGACGCAACAAATTAGACCCGGGATTTTCCGAGAAAATCCCGGAAAACTTGGGAAAAGTCACAACTTTGTGGATTTTTATACAAAAATTCCCAAAAAATTGTCAAGGACGAATAAATAAAAGACAAAGAAGACCTTAAACAAGAATCTTCACTTTGACTTTTTCACTGGTAAACATAAAAAAAGAAAAGAAGCATAAAAATATAAAAGATTAAAAAGACAACCTGCTAAAAAGTGGGGGAACCAGCTAAAAAAAAAAAAAAAAAAAAAAAAAAAACCTAACCTAACCTAACCAACCGTCTCGCGCCGCACCTCGAAGGGTGAACATCGTTTTGTGCGTGCTCCGTGGAAATAAATTCGAAAGAGTGGGTTTTTCGCGTGGACCCCCATTGAATTGCACATCAATAGACTCGTAACCACAAGACCTACACGGGGACGTATCGTTTACGTGATTCCGACAATTTTTGGAAAAGTTATTCGCGAAAAACTGTCTTCGTTGTCGCCATCTTGTCGGACGCGGCCCCTTCGAGTTGTGTTAGTTGGTTGGGGCATATAAACTGTGATACCCTATAGTGACTGTGTTATTTAAAGACCTCAACAGTGCATAGGAGTGATCTTCTGTGAAGATGGAGCGATGTAGAACCGGATAGAACCTGAGCTATGATGCCCCTTACGAGTGGGAGCGTCGCTTGGTTAGGATTGTCGGGTTCCCGCTTCAAGTAACAACCAACGTGTGCGGCGCGGACGGTTCATCATTAACACCAAGACAGCGATTTGGAGTGAGTGCTGGGACCGATATGGAGGCCCCAATGCAAGAGACGGAGCGACCTTACGGGAGACGACAATCCACGCCATTAAGGTATTCCTTTGGACGACACGTAGGGCTCCGCCCCCGCTCTGAATTCAGGTACTTTTGCTGCTCTCGTGATTCGCGATCCATGGACGCCATTTTGTAGTCCATCCTAACACCCTAACATCGACGACCGAACGAGATGTTACATTATACATCCTAACATCGACGAAATGAACCTAACCTTTTACCATAACATCCTAACTCCGATGCAACGAGCGAAGTTTACTTATCCTAACACCCTAACAGGGACTGCGGTTGGGAGCCGCTCTGTTAGGATCCACGCTAATGATGCAATACATACCCTAACATCTATGTGCAATGTGTTGATAGGATTGCACTACTGAGAACTACGCTAATGACGCAATATACAAGTGAACAGGAAACATCTATTGACTGGATTTACACAAATTTACTGGACTAACATATTAAGGAGGATAATTACGCACAATAATTCGGAGTGGAATGAGCGACGCTTCGGCCCCAAACCTTTGGACTCTGTGACCGCGACCTAGACCGGGGACTCCTTTCGGACCGTCCTTTGTTGTGTGTGCCACTGCTGCAATACCTCCCGCCCTCGCGAGTTGGCCGGGCCCACCGACGCGTGATCTGGCGGCTTCGTGTTGTACGGCGGGACTGCAGAGGCGCGCCGCGTGCCTTTCTGCCGCGAGTACTGCTGCCCTGCCTCCTGTCTCCGCGAGCCTGCTGGCCCCATCGATGTGAGGTATTCCGGCGACCGCGCTGTGGTTCGGTGAGTGAGGCGGAGTCGTGTGCTGCCTCTGGACGTGAAATTGGGACTCCCTGGACCTGGCTACTTCCTTACGACCCCGCGGACAACGAGGTTTGGAGATTAGTTGAACGCGCCTTTTCTTTTGCTCCTTTTATTTCATTTTATATACCAACTAGCGCTTAATAATTATCTTACCTTATCTTACTAACTTATGATAACTGTGTATTGCATTTTACATCCAGTTTGTATATTAATGTCGTAATTAATTTATTACCATCTAGTTTAGACATTAATTCATACATATTATCATGTTATATTGGCTGTCGTTGGATTAAATTAGCATTGTTAGCTTACAGACATTGTTAAGATCATGGCAATATTAGCTCCGCGTACCATTCAATCACCGGACTAGCCGAGTGACCGGGCTAGCATTGTTAGCTTTTGGAATAGAAACCAACTTTTGTTCAGTTCGATCAGTGTCAATAGCTCGAGAGCGATCCGAACCTCCCAGTTGTTAACATCAGCCGGATTAGTTAAGAATGTTCGGAGCATTTAACACCGATAGTATTGCTCCGATGGTTTGTATTGTTCGGAACATTTAGGATTGTTCCGTTTGTTCGGATGTTTCGGGTCGCTCTGATTAATATTTTTGCTCGGAGTAGTTAATACTGTTAAGATCGCATGGACCAGTTGGAATGGTTCGGATCGGCTAAACTAACAACTACGCACCGATCTGTTAGGATGCTACATTGTTATCATGTATATATCAACTGCCACTTATAAGTTGGCGAAATGAAATCAATTAATTTGTTAACAACCATTATTTTTAATAGACACATATCAATTTTATATTCATTAAATCATAATCAGAAGCAAATGGAATAATCATATCGAGTAATGTAAATAAACAACCAACTTTATGTACATATAGTCTATTATTATTAAACATATGATTTTATGTAAATAACCATCTTTATGATCGTTTGTTGCTGATCCGGGTATGGCGGTGTGCCCGGTCAATAGTTGTAGAACATAATTGATCGCATGTACATATTGCATTATCGATATTATTATTAAGATAAATAATCACATACAATTCATGTAAATAACTCAATTAAGCTCATATGACCCTATTTAAATAATCAGTTGGGAGGTTATCGTTTGCTGCTGATACGGGCGAGGCGGTGCGCCCGATCGACAGTCATTCGAACGATTAGCTGATCACATGTACATATAATTACATTATTAACATCATTAGTTAAAAGTCACATAGGATTAATGTAAATATTTAAATTAAGAGCATATCGTGTACTGTTGGCATGAGTATGGCGGCGGGCTCTGCCAATAGGTACTTGAATACATGTACATATGATCACATAACCATTTTTAGCATTAAGTATTATTTTAGATTAATGTTAATATGTAAATAACTCAATTAAGCTCATGACCCTATTTAAATAATCAGTTGGGATGTTGTCGTTTGCTGCTGATACGGGCGAGGCGGTGCGCCCGATCGACAGTCATTCGAACGATTAGCTGATCACATGTACATATAATTACATTATCAACATCATTAGTTAAAAGTCACATAGGATTAATGTAAATATTTAAAATTAAGAGCATATCGTGTACTGTTGGCATGAGTGAGGCGGCGTGCTCTGCCAATAGGCACTTGAATACATGTACATGTGTTCACATAACCATTTTTAGCATTAAGTATTATTTTAGATTAATGTTAATAATCATATAATTAACCACTTGTATATAACCAATCGCTAGTGATCGCTTTTGCAACAAAGCGGCTTAATCAT